AGTTTAATATCCAAACTTCATATTTCAATATTTTTAATTGGAGAATGGGCACCCTAAGTTTAAAGTTAACTATTACGAGTTAACCAAATATTGTAATGTAAACACCTATAGTTATACTTTTCACAAAGGATCTACCTCTCCAAGAATGAACCTTGATGAGGCCCCTCCTTTTATACATTATCACATAATTGGTTACTCTAGAATTTCCTACAAAGGAAGGAGTCCAGGTCGCTGACACTTAGTTCATTTTAAAATTAATATATATTTTATTTTAATGTAAGTTGCATTATCACTCAAGTCAAAATTTTGCTGACATGAAATAGCATCACTGTGATATATGATCACTTTCAAAGTGATGGGGGAAATTATATATTTTAAGTACTGACTTTTCAAACATATGATTTCTGAGCCTCTAAGAAGGAAATAAACAATTACCAACTTCTCTTTTAAATTTTGATTTCCTCAAGCATTTGAGAAAAAACATTTCCTTCCTAAAAATTTTTTAAGGTATGAACTCACGATCATTTTTGCTACCTTCACATATGAAGGTTTTTTATATAATGTAAAACACACAGATCACTTAAGGCCATCAGCATTATCCAACTTTCCCTGATATTTCCCTAACAATCTCTTCTGTAAAAACAAAAACAAAAACCAAAAAAACAAAAAACAAAAACTCATTTAAACATTAAGATTTTATGTTCTTTAAGAATTATTCTTTAAGAAAACTAGTAAACCTGGTATCTCATATACATTGAAGTTGTATTTTTCAAGTCCATCTAAAGATTAACTCATCTCTAAAATTTTCTGGGAGTGCCCAAATCTTATTTTAGAAGTGTTACTATTGTAGAGATTGTTGTCCTTAGGATTCATGTGTCCAGAATTATTCCTGATCACTTAATACAAAGTTTGCCAGATCTTCCTGATTTAGAAAACAACACACAAAGAAAGAAAAAGTAAATTTAACATAAAAAATAGACTTTACTGAAAAGTTCAGTTTGGAAAAATCACTGGTGATAAGACAGGTCATAAACTATTTCTAAAGATAAAACTTCTTATTTCTAGAGAAATCTGAAGTTCCAGGGATTCCAAGTGGGGAAGACAGTGACACTGTCATTAAAGTTTTAAAGCTCGATTGGAATTGAAGACAAATTTTCATCAACATTCCAAGTAGAATGGTTGCAGTTGTTAACAGTTTCTGGTTAAATGTATATCATTTCATGCATTCAAGTTATAAGAAGAGGGCAGTTTTATGTGTTTCCATATTGGTGGGCACAATAAAGTCTCTAAAAGACCATGTCTTTGAGTTTTTTATGTGTGTTTGGAAAAAATATTTTAGAATGACATAAGGTGAAAATTTTTTGCTTTCTAGATTTTAATGCTTCCATGTAAATTTCTAAGAATTATGGATCATTGTCCCCCCAAAATGTGATTTAATGGGTATATTTCTCTCTGTATGAATTCACGATTCAATAGGTGTGACTATTAGGCTATACAAAGATAGAAACTATGATGGAAGAGCAGTAAAATCGAAAAATATCAAGTTTAAGATATACGATTTAAAAAAGGAAACCAAAATGTAGAAATCAAACAAGAAGTTCATGTGCAGATCCAAGAAATCAGAGAGTGGTGAAATAAATTCTGGCATCAACAAAAAATAAAGCTTTATTATTAAACTCTCATCAAAAGATGAGGGTTACAAGAAACTGGTAGGTGCCTGAAAAGAAGAACGTACCACCCATCTGAACAGAGAACACAAAAATGTTCTGCAGTACTCAGCAGGGCTCTTGTGGGCAATTAGTTGTCATTTCACACAGCCTTGCCTTTAAAGAAACATCACCCTAGCCCTAAGTACAGGCCTCTGTGGTCCAGAGGGACAGAATTCCTTCCCTCCATTGCGCCTGTTCAAGGCGACCCCTCAGGATGGTTCTTCCGCCATCCTATCACTGTCATGCTTCTTCAGTGACTTGAGGTCTCTAGATGCAGTGCACAGCCCAAACACATTCAAGGATCCTGCCAGATCCATGGCGTGATGTTGGGCCAGGCTTATGTTTCCTCTCTCCCACAGATGCTGCAGTATTTTCAAAAACAGGGCCAGACAAGCCTTGCTCTCCTTTCCTGTGAAGATCCAGCCTAATGGCGACAAAAGAGGTCCAGCCTCTGTACTCTAGTAAGGTCATAAATAATATCTCATTACAGATGTTACAGTTTAAATTTTCTTTCTTTTATGTCAAGGAGGAGAAAGGGCCCATTTCAAAAAGAAAAAAAAAAAGTGAGTTCACACCACAGATTGTGACAGATTTATTACTATTTATCACGGTAAATATGTATTGAAGAAAACATATAAATGTCTTTAGCTAGTCATAATCACTTGAAAAGAAACCTTTTACTATCCCCAGTTTCTTATTATTTGTAAGAAAACTATTCATACATACCAAAGCAAGTTTTAGAGATATCTTACCAGGTATATATTAATTTGAGCTTAAAAAAAAGAAAAAAAAACATGGCAGAGGTCTAAAAATACCGGAGCAAACGTGTTACAGTGACTATTGCGGACCATCTCTTTAGATCAAATTAAAATATATATTTCGTGCAGTGGGAAGGCACATGGATCTTGTTATAAGTAATAAGCAATCCAATGCATGCAACGAAGCTAATATAAACTAAGTCACATTATTGCTATTAAAACAGAGCAGAGATTTTTTTAAAGTAATGACAATAAATAGATGATTGGATTCTGAAATAGACCAAACTTAGTTACTCTTCTGGCTTAAAAAAAGAAAAGTCAAAAAAATAACAAGGATAAAATATCCATTTCAACTGAATTTTCCTCCTTGTCTTTAAAAAAACAGGCTCTACTTATGAGAATGTTCCTTAAGGACCATTAAAACATTTAGCCAAGATAAATTCTCTAAGAAGAGTAAACCTTAAACTGACCATCAAAAGCCAAAAATTAAATAATACAAACTAAATTTCCAATTCTAGATCTACTGCAAAGAAAGGAAAGATACCTTTTTATTTCTCAACAAGGACAACATATCAAAAACACACAAACTGTCAAAATGGCAAAGAAAAAACTGTATCCGTGAAATTTTCTATAGTGGCCAGTTAACTCTAGGAAAATACTTAAAAAACTTACAGTGAAGTAGGAGAGATTATTATGGACAATGATTAAGCAGACAGATAATATCTAAGGCCACACCAAAACACTCCTTAGAAATTGGGTAGATTTCTGCATAATTTTAGCACTGGAAAAAACAAAGTTTGTTTGGCTATGAGGCATAAATAAGGTTCTATAGCTTCAAGTTTTACATGGCTTTAACAGCACGCAACTATTCCATCATTTCAGGACATCTGAAGGTCCACTCATTGTATTCAATACTGTCCGTATTAGGTGCAGGCATGTTTTAAATGTCAACAGCTGTGAAGACTGTATCATTTGAGGTTGTCATAAAAGCTATTAAAAGCTAAAGTTTCATCTACATTAAATCCACCACCAACTTCAAGCTTAAAATATGCTTAGAAAAACCTGAAGGGATATTGGTCAGTTTTAATACAGCACAGAGATTTAAAGAATAAACCACTCAGTACATTTTTAAGTGACTTATTGGTAGTCCAAAGTGACTATTTTATACACAATTGGCAGTTTTATTTACATAATATTTTTCTGTATTTATGGATAATTTTGTGATGCTTCTTCAACATTACCAAGTCTATGATAATCAGCATACAAAATTTGTGTTTTTTTCCTGATAAGACTCACTCTGATATATTCACTTAATAATTTTTTGGATGAGCTGAACTGAAAGCAAGTCAAATACACAGGTGTTTGGGTTAATCTAATCTTAGCACATTTGCAAAACCTATTATTCTCCTAATTTCTTAAAAATGAAATAAAACTAATATGCGAGCATCAATTGGTAATATATTTTCAGAAACCCGAATACCATTTTATTTTAGAGGAGAAGAACTTGCAATGAGGCTTATGAGCATTCTTTTCTAAGAATACTAGTGCCCTACAGAACACAGAATTAAATTAAATTAAATCAAAACTATGTATCTCTCTCTCTCTCTATATATATATATGTATAGATGTATATATATATATGTGTGTATATATATATATATATATATATACATATATATTTACAGGAAGGAAAGAAGAAAGGAAAAAAGAAGAAGGGAAGGAGGAAACAAGAAGGGGGGAGACTCGTATTCTTGTTCTATGTAAGGAGGAAATTACTCAAAGCAATTTGCCTACTTACTTAGGCAAAGACTGGTTTTAAAGAAAATTAAATAAAATCATGTAGGAACTCAGATTTGAAAATATACATAAGAATTGAAAATAAGATATCGCATTTAGTTGGGATCACAACCAACTTTTGCTACGCTGGAGCCTGGAGGGACCTCACCAACGCCTGAGTATAGCTCCAGGTAGTAAAAAGACCCAGAATGCTCTTGGTTACAGCTGGATTCTTCTAGTTGTCACCTGGTATTCCAGACACAAATGGCTACTGATGCAGCTACCTTTGCAGCATTTATTCAGTAACCTCTCTAGAAAATAGAGACATTCTCTCTGCACTCTGGGCTGAAACCCATGTAAATTTTTCCTAAATCCTCTCCACAAATCTCCTTTCGCATGCAAATCCATAAATCATCATAATACCGACAAAGAATTTAACCAACACATGAAACTAATACTCATTCTCTTGAAAGCCCTGTACAGGTAAAACTCCTCGAACTTCAGGCACCTTTTCAAGGCTCTCTTCAGAGCTTAAACTGCTGAATATCAACACAACCACCCAGTCTTCCAGGATACACAATTAATCACTCCAACGTGGGTCAGGTGGCTGGACGTGCAGGTCATTCCTACCTCATCCCCAGTCTAGATAAACACGCTGCTCTGGCGCATGGAACCTCATTTGCTCCTATCTCCCTTGCATCAATACAAAACAGAACAAAATAAAACAATATACAAAGCAGAAACAAGCAGTACTTACTGAAGATGGCAAACCTGGAGGAACTTTTCGAACTTTCTTTGTCTGCACCTCTGAAAGAAAATGAAGAGGCTGTGAGGTCCCCGAATGCCTATTTCCCTAACTAAAACAGATTAAACCATGAAGCCATTTAGATTAGACCAGATTTTCTTAAATCATTACCTTAGCAAAATGTCAGTACTGCTATCATATTTTATTCTGGCAGAAATCGAATTCTGCCTTTTTCATAAAAATCAAGATATTTAACTTTTTTTAAGCTTTGATTTTTTTTTTAAGTTTCCTTATATGGGCAGCCAAGAGAAAACAAGAAATAAGCATACACCAAAATAGTTCTCTTGCTACTAGAAGTTGTTAACATACCCATCCAATGTACTACTGGGGAGGGGTGGTCACGAGCCTGACATTTGAGCAAAATTTTATGGTTTTGGGGGGTGGGGTGAGAATAGGGTGAGAAGGATGGCATCAAAAAAGAGAGGAAGAAAGAAAAAGACTACTACTAATCACTCAGGCATTCAAGCAGAGGAATACCTTACCCAGGGCACTACTGTGAAGAGGCCTCCTTCGGGGGTTATTGCTAGAATACTGATAATACTGGGAACCAGGTTTGGTGGGCGACAGGGTTCCTGGGTTGCCCATATCCATGTCACCTCCAAGGAGACTCTGCTAAAAGGTTCAAAAGGGAAAACAAACATAGAAGGTTAGTTTTTCACATTCACCACCCCCCAACTGATTGTTAGTACTTAAACCACGGCAATAAAGAAAACAGCATCTGCCGAGCTGCAACAATTAAAACACAACCAAACAAAAAGAAAAAGAAAAGCAGTCTAAGAAGCTAGCACGAAGTTTGTGATTTTTCAAATTCTTTGCTTTTGAGAGGAAGGTACAAGGTGATTCTCTTGAAACTTTCATCCTAAGACGACTCACATTTTGATTGTTTAAGAAGAGGGCGTTTGTGTAAGAGTCATGTTTTCTTCATCTACACTTAGGCTCATATCTGGGAACTATTCATGCCCTTCCTTCGCAAGAACTCCAGAAGAATCTGATTTTTCGGACGCACACAACTTCCCCCGACTGCTCACGCTGGGGGTGAGGGTAGGACGCTCCCCTCCACTGAGGACTCTGCATCGGCTCGGCATTATCCCCCACGGATTTACACAGCACCCACAGAAGAGAAAATGCCAGCAGAACCGGGAGCAAATTCAAATCTCACGCTAACTTCCAAAATCATAGAAATAGTAGGCATTCTAAGCGAACAGGAACAAATTAGAATGCCCTCTTGAGGACTACTGGAAGTTAAAATACATCCCCACAGATTAAACATTTACCTGAGCACTAGAAAACTTTCGCAAATATCATTAACTTATCACAGTGTGATAAATGACTAAACTTTCAAAAATGATGACACACGAAAGATCATATAATAATATTACATTTTCTAAAAACTACATAAAAACTTACCCATAATATATAAATCGCCTGATTATACTCTGCATTGAACACATTGTTCTGTTAATTAGTCTGATATGCAAGAAAACAAGTGTAGATACTACCATTTATATTAAGAACAAATTTACTATTTAATAAAGAAATTTTAAAATTAAGTACTAAAAATCTAACTTTATCGTTACTTGTAATCAACTTTTACTGACTGAACTAATTACTGTCCTTGATAAAGTACAGAATGTGTTTTCCCTAATCTAAATTCTAATCACCATGTCACTCACAACAGACTTAGGGATGCTTCACTAACACACTATTCACATGCAAAATACTCTAAATAGGCCAATTATGACTCTGCCCCTGTTCCCTGGTTAACCCGCTGAGAACTGAAAAATTTCACAAGGCAGTCACCAACTAAAACAAAGAGTCCTTGTTTTAAATTAAGACAGTCTTTTTGATTCCTAAATAGCTCAACAAAGTGGCATGTCTTCTAGTGAAAGCAGTTGGTCAAATATGACCCATAAGCTGGAAAATCAAAAATTCAAACCTCCCCTTTCCAGTGCCATATAGCTAAATATCATAAAGAGAACCTCTCTGTTCCAGGGATTTTTTGTGAGTGCTGGATGAGTAATAAAGGACTAAACAGCTACTGATAAGTTTGCCTTCACTGTTTCCAGTTTAAGACTTTTCCAAGGGATACACAGTCAACATTACTTTCGAATAAAACTTTAAGGATGAGATTTTAGTTTTGAAGCTCATTTTGAGCAAAAATTCATTGCGAGTATCTTCATATTTGCCACATAAATACCAGATTAAACCAGGTCATTTGCCAGATAAAAATATGACATCCGCATGCTCAATTACTGCCTCTTCCGAACTTAGGATATCAAAATGCTACCCAATGACAAACTAAAATACAGAGCTCTTTGTAATAGTTTTCTATAAACCAGGAATAACATCTATAACCAGCATAACATCAAATGATTTCTTTATCATTTTACAAGTGGCATTCAACAATTTTAGAATCTCAACCTGCAATTTCACTCTTGGTAAATCTTAGTAACAAAATCTACATTTAAAGCCCAAGTTTTCTTTGAAATTTCCATCGATAAAGCTGTGAATGATTTAAATCACAGCCTCCTCACAGTCTGGTAAATTTACAAATAAGCCTCCCTTTCATGAAAAGAGGAGCTTGAAGGGGACATTATTGATAACTTTGTATCTTAGGCAGACGTTACTCCTCTGCCTTCATTTTCTTTTCCTAAAATAATACAAAATACTCAAACAAGGACTGAGCAGATAGGTTGAAATGCCTGCTTGTCTTCCTAATGAGCTTAACCAGTGCTTAATTCTTGTTGGTCCTGGTGGCAAAGGTTTCCACTCCCAAGAAACTAGATGCACTCAATAGGTCAACATAAAAACAAACAAGCTTGCTATACTGTGTTTTAGCAGCATTCACAACAGAGCTGTGAAAAATATAAAATGATAACTAGAAGATCGCTAACTGGCTGTGGCTGACCTTACTGTTGTTAATGTAAAAGAAAATCATTTCACGGGCCAGTTGTAAATAAACCATGCCCCTAACACTTGCATGCGCAGCCACATGAACTATGGATAGTGACACAGAACTAAGACCAGATAGCACTTACATTTGGTGGCTCATGCTAATCCTTTTTTTTTTTTAAACAAAGCACATTCCTGTTTCTTTCTTTTTAGACCTGTTTGTTCCTTTTTCTTTTTCTCTCAGACAATAGAATCATTCTTCTAAAGCAACAAAAATAAGCATTTCCTCACACTTAAGGGGGCCCTAATCACCCCCCTAGGGAAAGTTAAGATAAAAATATTGTGTTCTTATTGTAGAGTATACTTGTAAAATGAACAATAACCATTTACTATTGTTTGGCCTTTACGTCACACATTTAACTCTCTTTAGCAATGAGAAAGATTAAAAAAAAATTTCCACTGGCTAAAAAACCTGAGTTTATGAACTTAGAAAGTTAATGGCGTTCAATTCAACAAGGTAAATTGAATATGGCACAAAGTGGATAGGCATTCATTTACACGTGAATTCACCTGCATGGTATACACACACACACACACACACACACACACACACACACACACACATTAATGCTTAATTTAAAAGTTAAGTTTGAAAGCTAAAGTCTACTTTCAAAATGGGCAAATTCATCTTTGCCTTAAATAAGATTACAAAGGTTTCAGGTTTTTCACATTGTGCAAGTTCATGCTCTGCGGTTATGCTGGGTCCCAGTCGAGAGCTGCCCGAGTCTGCCAGGAAACACTGGAAGCAAGATGTGGCATCTCACTGAGCTAACCTGTAAATCTTAAACCCATAGTTTACCATTTTCTTTAACTGTCTGCAATGTGAGGAGACGAGCCCTTCCCCTTATTCAGTCCTTACTTTCTTCCAAAGACAAACAATTTTAAGACTTAAAATACTGTAACCAAATATTATATATATATATACGTGTGTGTGTGTGTATGCTTCTATATATATACACGCAGCATATATATGTGTATATATATGTGTGTGTGTGTATATGTGTGTGTGTGTGTGTGTGTGTGTGTTGACTTTGTGAACTGGGCTTAAATATTTTGGGGTCCACCCCTACACTGGATTCTTCTTCAGCATGTAATCCTACCAAGCTCACTCAAATGCCAAATGCAACATTCTGTGAGGGTCCTTTTTCCATTAAAATTTTTTTGTTTGTTTTATATCAGATGTGGGTCTCAGTCTAACACATTCTCAACACTGCCCCGATTCCCTTTGGTGGTGGGGGGGAGCTTTTTAACATCCTTGATCAACCACTGAACTTTGCTTATGCAACCAAGAATGCAAACCATGAATTAAACTTGAGTAACAGAAAAGCAGCATATATCTCAAATTAGATTTATAACTGAATGGTAATCAAAAATAGAACTAACTGCTTCAAGCTTAAATTATCAACTTTTTTCTTGTTAAACTAAAATCATCTTGCTCTGAACTATTATTTCCTTTCAGTCAGCACTTTAAATGTAATGGGTGGGTGGTACATTTCTAAAAAGGAAGATTATATTTACCCTTAATTATAGATATGAGTGAGATCAGAGTACGATGAATGCTGCTTTTTGGCTTATAATTAATTCATCTAATAGGTGAATGACCTTGAATTTCAGAGTTGGAATCGGGTGGGGGGGAGAGAGAGAGAGAGAGAGAGAGAAGAAGAAGAAGAAGAAGAAGAAGAAGAAGAAGAAGCAGCAGCAGCAGCAGCAGAAGCAGGAGAAAAAATAATCTCGGGGGAAAAGCAAACGTGCCCCTGGTTTCTTAGCACTTTCTCTGATTTTGCGTCACTCCCATTACGTTGTGATCCGATATCAGACACAACATCTTGGGGGGATGTTGTAGAACAGAGAAAAGCAGTCTCAGATGAAACCAGATTAAGCTCCTTTTCTGAACTATTGCCAAATGCTTGTGAGTCTAATTCATGTTTGGGTATTCTAGTACTCACACAGCTGCAATTCCATTCTTTCATCACAAACCTAAGTGATGTATAGTGGCTTTGTATGGCGAACTGACTCTATAAAGCCAGGAATTTGGGAAGGCTTTACGTTAATATGGAAATAAAATTCTGAACCACTATAAAACTTATGAATGCTGGATATTTGTATGGGTACCTAATAGACTTTGCAGTACTAAGTGCAAAATATACATTGAGCAAAATTACCAATTATATTTGTTTAGAACGCATTAAAAAAAATCGCAATGGAGGTCATTTCTCCATAGTGAATTCTGCACAGGATCGGATTTTCAAAGACACTGCTGAATAAGATTCCTAACAGCCATGGGGAAGTTTTTGCAAATCCCTGTCGAATAGCTGCTGCTGAATTTGCCATTTTGACCACAGAAGGGCCATTGCTGACTTACTCTAGTAGCAGGAGGGGGCGATAATTTTGCTGCTGTTGGCACTTACTCCGCAACCCAGAATATATCTCACAGCGAAGGGCAATGAAGAACACAGTATTTCCACCTGTGTCCACCTCTGAACTTCAAAGCTCAAAACTGAAGGTCAGTCTTTGGACAGTCTCTATTCCCGAGAGCGGAAGGTCCGGGAATGCACCTTCATAGTTTATTTTGAGTTCAGTCTTATGCTTGGTTTCAGCAAAATAGAACTCTGGAAAGTTAGAAGGATAAGATGGCAAGGATAACTTGTACAATCAGGGAC